AGCAAAGACAAGAAGACTCTGAACTTTCACTGACCAGTCATTAGCCAAAGCAGTGAGCTCCAGGTTCAGGAAGAGACTCTGTCTCAATAAATACATATATACATACATACATACATACATACATACATACATACATACATACATACATACACACATACATGAATAAGGTAGAGAGTGATGAAGGAAGAGTCCCAGTGCTGACCTCTGACTTCCACACATACATGCACAGACAACTGCACCTACAAACATAAATACACACACACTAACTCAAAATAAAAGGCTAATGAAAGGAATAAAAGGGGAGGTAGAGAGATAGCTGAGGAAGTACAAGTGCTTGTTACACAAGCATGGCAACAGAGTAAAAAATCAACCATAGTGTGCACACCTGTAGCCCTAGCACTAAGAAGAGTGGGGATTGCTGGGACCACCATATGAAGTTCAGGCTCAGTGAAAGGCTCTGTGGTAAGGTAGCAGGGTAGGAAGTGACTGTAGACTGAAGTTTCTCAGTCCTGCCCAGTCCCAACCAAGCAGCAGCCATTTTTATAAAATAATCACTCAGAGGCTTAATATTAATTACAAACTATTTGGTCTATGGCTCAGGCTTATTGCTAGCTAGCTCTTACATCTTAAAATAACCCATTTCTGTTCATCTATGTATCGCCACATGTCTCGTGGCTTTACCTGTGTTCTATTACATCTTGCTCCCCTGGCAGCTTGTAGTGTTTCCCCTGACCCCACCTTTCTCTCACTTTCTTTCTTCTCTTGGATTTCCCACCTGGCTGTATCTTGTGTTGCCATAGGCCAAAACAGCTTCTTTATTAACCAATAGTAGCAACACATATTCACAGCATACAGAAAGACCATCCCACAGCTAGTGACAGAGCAGGACACCCAATTTTCTCCTCTGGACTCTGTTCATGCAAATACACACACACACATACACACACACACACACACACACACACACACACACACACACACACACACAACAAACATGTACCACACACATTCACACTCAGAAAGAGAAAAATCACTAAGGAAGACACAAAAGTCTATTGTCAGATAATCTATAAAATAACTAAAACTAGTAAGGGAATCCACTGGATGTACATGTTACACAAATGATGTACACAGGTTGAATATCATTTGTCAAAAATACTTGAACCATAAGTGTTTCAGATTTTGTAGATTTGGATTATGAAACATTTGTGTAACCTCTACTTACTGCTTGCATAATTCCTAATCCAAAAATCTGAAATTGGAAATCCTCAAAATCCCAAAATATAAAATATTTTGCATTTTGGAATTTAGGATTAGGGTTGGTCAGTCAACTCATATTATATACTTTATATTTAATCAATTGAATTTAATATATTAGCATAAAATAATTGGAATTTTAAAATATTCCATTTGCAAAAACATCATAGAAATAAGATACTCAGGAATAAACTCATTGAAACACAGCCAGGTGTTATGGCACAAGCCTATTAAATAACAGCAACTTGGCATCAGAGATAAGAGGACTGTGAGTTTGAAGCCAACCTGGGACACATAGTGAGTTCAAGGCCAGCCTGATCTATAAACCAAGATTTCATTTCAAAAACTGAGGTCTGGGGCTGTAGCTCAATGGTAGAGCATTTGTCTACTATGCGCAAGGTTAGTGGTTTGATACCCAGCACTGCAAAAATATTGATTAACAAACATATCAGCTCTCCACAGAAAACTATGAAACTGCTGAGACAAACTAGAGAACTAAGTAAATGTCTATAGATTAAAAGACTCAATATGGCTAAGGACTAAATTACTCGAAAATTGTCAATAGTTTCAATCCCAATCACAATACCATTTTTTTTTTTTTTGCGTAGATTTTCAGGCAGATGTAAAAATTCATATAGATTTAGAAAAGGCTTACAGTAACAATCTTTTTTTTAAGGCAAAGGGCTCATACCTAACTTTCTTTCACACTGCAGGTACCAGGGGCATAAGGAGATAGCCAAGAGGATCTAGCCTTAAAAACAAGCTTCATGTTCAATGAGAGACCCTATCTCAAGGGGATAAGGCAGAGAGTGACAGATCAAGATGCCTGACAGCATCCTCTGGCCTGTGCACATGTGTACACAGGTGTACATATGCACACATGTGCACACACATACATACTACACAAACACACTCACACAGGAGTATAGGTACCAATACAGCATGGTAATAAAACAGGGATTTATTTTTTAAAAAAGAAATAAATGTAACAACACAGAAAGCCTAGAAATAGGCTTATTTCCCCAACTCTTTTGTCTTAATTATTTATTTAGAATTTCATGTATGAGTACTGTATTTATATCATATACCCCTCCATCTCCTTCCTCCAATTACTCCCATGTTCCCTCTACTCCTTTTCGAATTCATGACCTCTTATTCTTTTTTCTTTTTTTTTTTTTTTTTTTGGTTTTTCGAGACAGGTTTTCTCTGTGTAGCTTTGTGCCTTTCCTGGAACTCGCTTTGGAGACCAGGCTGGCCTCGAACTCACAGAGATCCGCCTGCCTCTGCCTCCCGAGTGCTGGGATTAAAGGTGTGCTCCACCACCGCCTGGTGACCTCTTATTCTTAAATCATTATTGTTAGACACACACACACACACACACACACACACATATATATATATATATATATATATATATATATATATAGAGAGAGAGAGAGAGAGAGAGAGAGAGAGAGAGAGAGAGAGAGATGTAGATGCATATACAGTTATAAATCCAACCTGATGAGTTCATTTAGTATATATGTGTTCAGGGCTTGATAATCCCTGGAGAAGACTTGATTCTCCCTCTCTTAGCAGCCAATAATTGCTTGCAGCTTTTTATTTAGGGATGAGGCTTTATGATTTCTCCACCTCCCAACTATTTTTTAAATGTATTATGACTTGATTTTTTTGGTTAAAGGTAACAAAGAACAGCAATGGGAAGGGGAAAGTTTCTAATAAGTGGTGTTGTTTTAAAAACTAAATATTCATTTGTAATAAAGTGATCTCATATCTTGAAAGAAAATTAGCTCATAGAGGCTCTTCCTCTTAAGCATAAAAGTTAAAACCAAAGGGTTTTTAAATAAAGCAAAAAAAGGCATAAGGGAACATTTTCATGATGGGCCCATGCCAACAATTTTTTTCCAAACAAATCGTATATGGTTATTAGTAAGGTAAAAGAACTACAAATTAGATGTCAAAAAAATTCTAAACATGTGCCTATGAAAAGACACCACTGAGAAAATGATAGGAAAGTTGCAAAGAAGAACTACAAGCCAATTAAAATATAAACAAAAGACTTTGACAGCTAAGTCAACAATGAAGTTATGCGTACAATCAAGATGAAAATGAAAGCTTCCTGCCCATCATTAGCCACAGGAGAAAAGAACACAGGAATTTCTTACAAATATAAGTATATACCCTATGAGCCAGCTATTCAGTTTCTGAGATTTGCCCAAGACACACAAAAACATGTCCACACAAAGACTTTTATGCAAATGTTCATGGGAGCACTATTTGTAATATCTGCAAACTGGAAACAACCAAATATGCAGCAACAGCAGAATTAAAAAAAGTACATGATATGTTTCTTCAATAAAATATTATTCATCAGCAATCAATTCAGCACTAAAAACAAAATGATTAATTTGGAATGATTAATATGGAAAACAGAATGATTAATTTTAAAACAATGTAAGATATATGAAAGAAGACTTCTACCAGAGATTCACGTATATACCACATGATTTTGTTTGGAGGTATAAAGTTCTAGAGAAGGAACAAATTATGGCAGAAAAATGTCAGGATGGTGGTGGCTGTAGCTGAAAGTTTTCCTGTATCCCACCAGGTCCACACCCGCTCAGACCCAAGTAAACACACAGAGGCTTATATTAATTAAAACTGCTCGGCCATTAGCTCAAGCTTACTACTGACTAGTTTCACACTTCAACTCGGCCAATTTCTGTTAATCTATATGTTGCCACATGTTCCATGGCTTTACCTGTGTGCCATTACATGCTGCTCCCTGGATGGCAGGCTGGTGTCTCCTGACTCAGCCTTCCTTTTCCCAGAATTCTCCTTGTCTGCTTATCTTGCCTATACTTCCTGCCTGTCTACTGGCCAATCAGTGTTTTATTAAACCAGTGTACAAAAGCATTATCCCACAGCATTTCCCCTTTTCTGTCTAATTAAAAAGGAAGGTGGCCCCTGGATGAAAATGGGGGTCTTTCAGGATAAATGTCAGTATTCTGTATCTTGATAGTGTTTGGGGTAGTGTGGACATATGTCTTAGCTAAACTCAGAGACTACAAACTTAGGATTTGTATGTTTTCCCATATGTAATTTTATAATTTTTAAGATGTAAAAATAAAATCTGGTTCCTCAGATTGCTCTGAAGTAGCATATGACCTGCAGAGACTGAAGTACTGCTAGATGGTGGAAAGGGCTGAGAGTTTTTATAATTGATCATAATAGTTGCATTTATCTATGGGGTACAGTGTGATGAATCAGGGTAATTAGCATCCACATCACATCAAACATTTGTCATTTGCTTCTGTTACCTAATCTGGGTCCAGATTTTAAATGCAGCCAAACATAGGTCTGAGTTTCAGCCTAGCTGTTAGGCTATGTGTCTTTGGGCACATTCTTTGACTTTTCTATTACCTTATGTATTTCAACAATACTCTGTAGTATAACATCCAACATAAAGTAAGTTATTCCTATGTGAGAGCCAACAGTCAACCAATATTTGGGATGATTTCAGGTGACAGTGCCAACTGTGACATCATTGCACACTACACAGTCACCAGTACAACTAAGATGTTAGCCTACCACAGGTTATACACAAATCTTCCCTGGTATCTCTAGGTTTTCTAATATTTCCATTCAGGTTACTAGCTTCCAAAGGTGCACTTTTGCTTTACAGGTGAAGATCTGGCACAGCATTTGGTTGCTTGGCTCGCAGTTTCCTGAGTTGCACTCACCTGGGGGGTTGTGACTTCTTCAGAGGAGTGGATGCTGAAAGCCATACCTTCAAACCTGTGGTCCACCCGCAGAACAGCCAAAGCCAGTCTGGCCACAGTGAGATTTGCTGTTCTCCCCACAAACTCCATCTTGTGACCAGCACGCTCAATTATCCTCAGAATCCTGAAAAGAATCAGAGGCAAACAGCTCTCTTTTTGTCCTTGATAAACCTCATCCTCTCAAGGTGCCTCACTGCAAAGCTTGACTTTGTTACTTCCTTGTCATCTTGATGTTGTTTAGTAAGAGCTCTGACTTTGGAGCCCAGCAGACAGACGAAGCAGAGGACTGGATAGGAGGCTCAAGCAGATGGACAGGAGAGGGAAATGAGAGTAGAACTGGGGGAGGAAGAAATGGATGGATATAACTAGTCACCTGCCAGTCCCACAGCTGCTCAGACCCAACCAAGTAAACACAGAGATGTATATTGCTTACAAACTATATGGCCATGGCAGGCTTCTTGCTAACTGTTCTTATATCTTAAATTAATCCATTTCTATAAATCTATACCTTGCCACGTGGCTCGTGGCTTACCGGCATCTTCACACGCTGCTTGTCATGGCGGCGGCTGGCAGTGTCTCCTCCCACCTTCCTGTTCTCTCAATTCTCCTCTCTGTTAGTCCCGCCTATACTTCCTGCCTGGCCACTGGCCAATCAGTGTTTTATTTATTGACCAATCAGAGCAATTTGACATACAGACCATCCCACAGCACTTCCCCTTTTCTTTTCTTTTTTTTTAAAGAGGAAGGTTTTAACTTTTACACATCTCCAAAGCCAGCTTGGTATATTTGGGAATTTGGGCGTAGCTTCTCTTACTACTTCCTGCTGGAGGGGGGTGCTGTATCTTATGGGGACACAAAGAAAATTTTAGGATTATGGAGTAGTCCATGAGGCTGTATTGTCTGAGTCAGTTGCCTTCAAACCATTCTGGATGTTGGATCATCTGGGCCATGGTGTCATTGGAGACCTTTCAGGGGGTCTTGGCTGGTCAAACCTGATGTATCTTAATCTGGAACAAATCCATAGCCTCTGGCTTTCTGTGGAAACAAAAGCAGAGCCTCCTTTCCAAAGCAACATATCCTTACATCCAAATTTTGAAGTCAAGGCACCTTTAAAATATACATTTTGGCATAACTCAACAGCTTTTACAATCAAATGTTTTCCTTCAGTTACAAATATCAAAGAGAACATAATCCAGATTGTCTGTGTGATAGCCATCTTTACGTGGCTTATTTTTTATATTACCTTGAACCTACTGCTTTAAACTGCAGCAATCTAAGACTGAAATGGGGCTGTGGCTGCTGGCTCCGCCCACTTCAGCTTCCCAACATGGCGGTGGTATGTTTTCCACCAGCTCTGGGAGCCATCAACTCTCAGAAATAGTGGGTCTATGCTTCTATCAGAGCAGTGTGTAGCCCAGAAACCTCTTTTTTTGTTTTGTACTAGCAAAGGCTAAATCCACCATGCAGCTTAATGTGCCACTTGCAGAGGCCTCATTCCTGCCATACTGCAGGTCGAGCACACATGCCAGGAACCCGCCATAGTAGCTCAAACAGGCAGGCTGCTGCTTACTTGAAAGAGACAACTAGGAACTGTTTTTAGCTCCATTTTAGAATCTTTTTGCTCAGGTTTTAGGTGGAAACTCTTGCCAACACGTTGGGCGCCATTTGTAGCTAATGTGGTATTGTATTCCCCCAAATATTGTGCATTGTGGGAGCCCGTTCTTGGGTTCCTCGTGGCTTTACCCAGCAGGTCCGCATAGAGGATGATTAGGACCACGGGCCTGAGTGCAGGTGTCTGAGATGGTCTGCACTTGGCTGTGCTGGGGAAGGAGGTCTTTTGCCCCACCCCTTGGCATCTCTATAAAAACCCTGGGGCAGAGACAGTCGGGGCCCGTTGGAATAGGTTTCAGGCCCTCTCGAGGCTATCCTTTATTTTCTATCTGTCTATCTCCTCAAGATTCTCCGTAATAAATCCTTCTATCTAATATTTCCTGCTGCTCACACTCAAGAAAACTCTGGGTAACTGTGGGGGGGGGTGGATAAATGCCCCACAATGCATTCTAATAAACTTATCTGGGGTCAGAGACAGAGCAGCCACAATATTAAACATAAAGGATAGGCAGTGGTAGCACACGCCTTTAATCCTAGCATTCCAGAGGCAGAAATCCATGTGTTCAAGGATACAGCAAGGCATGGTGACTCATCATGCCTTTAATCCCAGAAAGCAAGCCTTTAATCCCAGGGAGTGGTGGTAGAAAGCAGAAAGGTATATACGGTGTGGGGACCAGAAACTAGAAGCATTTGACTGGTTAAGCATTTGGCTGGTTAAGCATTCAGACTTTTGAGCAGCAATTCAGCTGAGACCCATTCTGGATGAGGACTCAGAGGCTTCCAGTCTGAGGAGACAAGATCAGCTGAGGATTGGCAAGGTGAGATAGCTGTGGCTTGTTCTGGCTCTCTGATGTTCCAGTGTTCATCCCAATAACTGGCCTCAGGTTTGATTTTATTAATAAGAACTTTTAAGATTCATGCTACAGATGGATTCATCAATTCTACTAGAATAGTTTAAGAGGTTAAAGGGTATATGGATAGAGCTTCATGTAAGAGTTGTTGTCTTTTTTAGTGTCCAATTAATGCTACCTATAAAATGGGGAGAGGGCACTAGGAGGAGTTGGAAGGCGTAGTGAGATACATACATACATACATACATACATACATACATACATACATACGTGTGTGTGTGTGTGTGTGTGTGTGTGTGTGTGTGTATGAAATCAAACTCTTTTGGGTAAGTATAGAAAATTTTCAAAGAATAAATTAAAATATAATAAAATGAATAAATAAAAATAAGACATTCATAATTCAACTTCTCAGGGAGAAAAAACAAAAAGAGTAGGTTATTGACTGTGAGGTAGAAAGTATCAACCACAACAGTTCCGAAGTTTTTCAGGGTTCCGTGGGTTGGATACATTTTATAGAAACATACAAGCCGGGCGGTGGTGGCGCACGCCTATAATCCCAGCACTCGGGAGGCAGAGCCAGGCGGATCTCTGTGAGTTCGAGGCCAGCCTGGGCTACCAAGTGAGTTCCAGGAAAGGCGCAAAGCTACACAGAGAAACCCTGTCTCGAAAAACCAAAAAAAAAAAAAAAAAACATTTTATAGAAACATGCAACAGTCGGAGGGATTTTGGGCTGGGTTTTGGATAAGAATTTATTTGAAGAGTCATTATCACTGAGAGTTCATTCATATTTAAATAGTGCTATTCACTGCACTGGACCTTGTCAAAGCATAACTGCCTGGTTGCTGAGGAAGTAACACAATAACATCTAAGTTTCGTGAAACAATGTCTCTGAGCCAAACATTCTGACTTACTTATTGCTTACTGGAGGCAAATTGGAAGCTGGATCGCTTTGCTTTTCCGTCACCGTGCTGATGATTTGGAGTATCATCTGGGTTAGGTTGGTACTTATCTCATCACAGTTGGAAATATCATCTACTTTAGAAACAATAATCTTGGTCTCTTCTTCATCCAGAGGTGGAGACTCTTTTACCAGATTTAAAATGTGCTCCGCGACATCATCTGCATTCTCTGGGGAAACAAAGTGGAAATGGGTGACCTCCATTTCTGCCCTTAATGTGGGGCTATGCTGGATGGCCTCCTCTCCTTTGAAGAGAAAAGCAGTGAGATGGAGACACACAGCAAGTGAAGAAAGTTCACCAAAGGAAACTGTTGAAGCTCAAGTTCTCCAACAGCTGTAGTTCCGGGAAGAATGGAAGTCAATTTTGTATTCATTAAGTCTGATTTCAAATGCACTAGGGAAATCTTTTTGTCACTGAAGAATTATCTTGAAACTTGATGCTAATTAAGACTTTTGAGTGTTGGTTTGAGTTAAGATCCCACCTGTACTCAAATATCAGCAAACACTGAGTCTAAGTTTTAATAATCGAGGGTAGTGATTACTATTCCCTGTCAAGAACTGGCAGCCCACAGGTAGAAAGCAAATATGGACCACATAAGAAGAAGTAATTAATTTTGATTTTCTAAGGAGGAAGAACAATAGCTATTAGCTCGCCCACTTTTTTCTTCACTTTTTATTATGGAAATCTTCAAGCATAATCCGAAAGCAAAAGAATAATCTAATGAATCTCCAGGTACTTCATGAATCACCTAGCTTCAACACACTTCAGTGGAAAGCTAATCTTAATGTATATCCTCTCTCACCTACCTTTGCCCTCTCCACATATCCTAGAGTTTCACCCACAAACACTTCAACACATATCTTTAAAATTAAACAACTTTTGTCTTAACCACGATCCTACTTAAGTTAAAATTAAGATAAAAATTACCAATATTTACAGCACCAAGTGTCCAATCAGTGTTCAAATATCCTTAGTTGTCTCATAAATGCTTGTTAAATCATTGTTTTACTTGAATCATCACCCCCTTTTAAAGTGAAGAGAGCTATTAAACCAATGCAATGCAAACTAGATTTTACCTCACTATAATCCATATAAAGCTGATCTTCATGCTCATGTCTTTGTAACTTAAAACCCAGTAACCAAAATATGAAGGAGAAAATTGAAAAAGAATTTATCTGTTGAGAAAGATTCCAGAGAGAGAGAGAGAGAGAGAGAGAAAGCATTCGTGACACATTTAACTCAGCTCATATTATGAATAATCAATTTGAGTGTAAAATTCTCTCCCTTTCCTTCTTCTCCTCCTCTTCCTTCTCTTTTCCCAGCCACTCAAATCTCTCCCCTACCTCAAGCTCCACACAACTTTATTCCCTATGCAGGTCTTTTTTTCTCCCTCCTTATCTTTCCCCAGTTTTCTTCTTTTGTTCTTTTTATTTCTACAAGCAACTCTGAGCTCATCAATGGAAGCTCAGCAATTCTAATCAAGGTCTTCTTAAGCCCCTCTCCATTACCCCAACTTGTCAATGGCTTATGTAGAAACAAGTTCACAAGCAATGTCAGTGTTTTCTCTGAGGAGACACAAAGGAAGGAAATTGATTCTAAATGAATATTTCATCCCTGTTAATATCTATCTTATGGTCCATTCAGAAACAGTGGAATAACAGGTTTGGGAGATGGCTCAGTGGGTAAAGGCACTTGCTGTCAAGCTTGACCACCTGAGTTTGATCCCTAGGATTCACATGGTGGAAAGAGAGAACCAACTCCTACAAGTTGTACACACACACACACACACACACACACACACACACACACACACACAAACACACACACACACACACACACACACACACACACACAAATACACACACACAAATTTAACAGAAAACTTTGAAAAGAAGCTAAGAAAACAACCAAATTAATGGTGGAGGGAAAAAACTGTGAGCTACATCCGGTATCTTTCTACTGCTGTTATTAAATTGTTCAGGCTTTGTTGAAAATGGAATCGCCAGAGCTGCCTAGTCATGATTCTTTGGGCTTCAGTGGTGTGACTTCACTTCACGCTGTCCCTGCTGTGGCAGAATGAAAGTAAACAACAGGCCAATAGGAGACTAACTACACTGAGGAAAGTAATTATAGACTTTTCATCTGCAGTTATATATTTTAAGGGAAATTTGGGATGGATTATAGTCATTGCATAAAAAAAAAATTCTAAAAAATTTGTGAGTTGACAGAAACAGCCAGCTGCCTGGACAGTCACCTGAGGTTTCTCCACAGTGTTGGGGCATCATCTTCAGCCTATAGGCTTAGCATATCTGACAGACTCATTTGTGAAGTAGGATGTACACAAGGTCGACAGTTCAACCTCACATTGGGTGAGAGCAGTCCATGTACCAGAAACACCTGAATTCCACTAGTGTCATGTCATGATTCAGGATTTTAAATTCTGGAAATTGTTGTTGATTTTTTAATTCAGCTGTCCATTCTTGGCTGTGTATATATGGCTTCATCTTAACATCCCGTTCTTCTCCACATCCCTCTGTCAAATGCTTGCATGCACTTTCTGTTTTTATTTTTGTTAGCTAATATTATTTCCTTCTTGGGTCTCTGAGGGAGTTGAAGATTAGTTAGTTATAGTTGAAGGTTAGTTAGTTATAGTTGAAGATTAATTAGGATAGAAAGTGAATTAGATACATTTTGGACTTAACAAAATAGGATAGATAATGAAATTATTTTCTCTGAATTTGTCAAATACAAATGGACTAGACATTGTTTAGACATTTATTACTTGTATATATTGTATATAGTCATTGTACTTTTGTATATAGTTTTTCTTTTGTTAGTTATAACCTTTTTCTTTTTTTTCCTTTTTATTAAAATAGAAAAGGGGAAAAAAAAGAATGTTTATGCACACTTATATTACTAATACTTCGTTATTTAGGAAAAATAAAGTGGTGAATACTTAAAAAAAAAAAAAAAAAAAAAAAAAAAAAAAAAAATTCTAGGATCCTAAGCAAGACTAAAAAGGAAATCTTCCTTTATAAGTTGCAGGACAGATTCTCATTGCTTGAAATATTGTATCAGTTAATCTGTCAATAATTGTAACAATCAAAGCACTAAGGGTGTGTATTTTTTTCCCTGAGCTATTGCTCTGAGCCAATGCTGCATAACAAACCACCCCCACTTAGTGGTTTAATATAGCAGTTAATCATTTTCACTTGCGGTTCTGTGTGTTGAATGGGCTCAACTGAGCAATTCTCTTTTGGGACTCGTCAAGTAGTAGAAGTGGGACTGAAGCTAGGGCTGGATCCATCTAAAGGCTAGACTGGCCTGGAAGTTCCTCTTACATCTAGCAGTTGAGGCTAAGCATGTGCTAATCATCTGGGGCTGTGGGTGGAACTCCCTCCACATGGCCTCTTCCAGTGACTTGGGTTCAGAGGTGGGTTGAATCCTGTGTGTAGTAGAGCCAGCTTGTGTAAGCTTATAAGAACCCAATTTGTGAGTTTCTGGGAAATTCTCCCAGAAAATTGGTCTTGTTATTAAATGCAGGTACCATTACATTTAAATTATACAAACTTATAATGAAATTATATTAAAAACAATGAGGATTCTCAAAAACCCACCATCTGCTAATTATTTGGCTACATTTCACTGATACATTTGGAACTATTTACATTCATAAATACACCCCTCACCAACTTCACAGTTCACTGACTGTGTTAGAGTTTATATTTGCCATGAGAATATTACATTATAATAATACATTATAAAAAATATCGAATGTAGCGCCAGGCAGTGGTGGTGCATACCTCTAATCCCAGCATTCAGGAGGCAGAGGCAGGCAGATCTCTATGAATTGGAGGCCAGCCTGGTCTACAGAGCAAGTTCCAGGACAGCCAGGACTACAGAGAAAACCTGTCTCAAAAAACCAAAACAGAAAAATAATAGCAAATGCTACAAATCATTAATTACCCTTAGGGGATAGAATTGGTTGGTAAAATATTTCTCAGCATGCCACTGGACTTCTCAAAACACAATAACTGTGTTCTGCGAGGAAGCATCCTAAATGAAAATGCACCAAGAAAAAGAATACCTACACTTTAGTCCTCTTAAACATTAGACCCTTTCGCCTGCTCTTGAGACCCTTTTCCTCCCACTGGGTTGCCTCATCCAGACTTGATATGCGGGTTTGTACTTATTCTTGTTGTAACTTGGTATGCCATGTTGGAGGCCTGCTCTCTTCTGAAGGGAAACAGAGAGGGGAGGTGTGTGTGTGTGGTGGGGGAGTGGAGAACTGGGAGGAGTGGAGGAAGGGGAAACTACAGTCAGTATGTATTGAATCAGAGAAGAAAAAATACAAAAAAAAATTAGACCCATTGTTGACAGTGTCACTACTGTCAAAATTCTGCCACATTAAGCAGCCAGATCTAGTGGAGAAAGCGTGGATGAAATGATGTTTGGCATTTTGAAGATGAGCTATAACAGCAAAACACTAACAACCTCACACAATGATTATTCATAGCATCTTCACATAGATGAAGACATGAAAGCGGAGAGATAATCTAGCAACACTCTTGGGCTCTTGGGGGCTTTAGCATGACTTTTTGCTACAGTCTCTGTAGTCTTTCATTTCTTTTCTCCATGTGGTGGAGGATTGAAATGGCAGTGCTTTGTCACCCTTCTGCCTTGACCAGGAGGTGGAACCCAGAGCCTTGCACATGCTTGGCATTTATTCATCCCTGAGCTCCATGCACCCCTCCCCAAAGCCCCTCTTCTCTGTCAGTCACTCATTGTCCAGCCTACCATGATGGCGGAAGATGCCAGCCAACTTCATCCTGGCCTGGTGTATCTTCAGTATCATGTGAATAACAAAACCAGGGAAGCAAACAGAACTCCGAGAACTTTGAGAGGATGAATTCCTTTTTCTAATGGTGTGATATAAGGGAGTTAAGAAGAACAAGTATTTACATGAGAGAACTATGGAGTTTTTCTCCAACTAAGACATGTAATGTTTGTCACTAAAATTAAAAAGGAACGCAAATACCTTGTTTCAATATGAGTTCATTTCTCTCCTTTACACAGTACACATCGTTGTTAAGTTCCCTACTAAGAAGGAAAAGGATTCCTCCAAAGCTATCAGGCTTCTAGTTTACTTTTCAGTTGTATGCATTAGAACAATGGTCCATCCAACTATTCTCTTTCTCTGTTGCAACTTCTCAGTTAATTTTCCAAAACTCTGAAGCCAGTGCAGTGCTTTTGTTCTTGTTGTGGTTATTTGTTGACTTTTTCTCCCACTAGAGAAAATTCTACTAGCATGTCTAAAGCAAATGTGTCACTCAGAAGGAGGAAGGTCAGGCTGAGACAGGCCCTCTGTCTCTCCACCCACTCGCTACAACCTGCAGCACCACCTCCTGCCCTGATTCATAATTTCCCATCTAGGACATCAGAGTTGGGCTGACTTTCCTAACTCTGCCACATATTCTTTGCCAAGGATCTCAAATGTGAATCTTCCACAAGGAAGACAGCCAAAGAAGTTCTCTGTCTTCCGGCCAATCCTTTGGTCCTTCTGGAAGGTGCTGTTGTGCTTATGCCTCAATCGATGGCCACTCATTAAGGCAGAGACCCAATCTGCCAGTACAGTCAGCCACATCTACAAAGTTATGCAGAAATTGAAATTCTATGTGGAAAAGAGATTTACTATATTTTCAGGCCCCACTTCCTGGTTCAAAGAAGCTCGTTTCTCACTGTAACCTTACATGGTGGAAGAGAAAAACAAGGCTTCTGAGGCCTCTTTTGGAGGAACACAAATCCTATTCATAAAGGACCAGGACTCATGACATTTCAAATGCCCCTAATCTGCGATTAGGATGTCAACGTACACATTTGGCTGGGTTTGGAGTGGTAGCAGAAACAGTCAGTCTATAGCACATATTTCACCAAAGGAGATATGTAGATGACAGACAGGCATGTGAAAAGATACTCAATCCATATGTCACTAGGGAGCTCCAAATTAAAGAAGCAATGAGGTAATAGTGTACAGCTATTAGAATGGCCTAAATCCAAAACACTGACAGCAACAAATGATGCAGAGGATGTAGGGCAAGAGAACAACTTAGAAGCAAACCAGATGTCCTCAAGTAGGAGAATAGATAAATAAACTGTCATAAATCCAGGCAATGGAATACTAGTCAGTACTAAAAAGAAATGAGTTAGGAAGTCATAACAAGACATAGGGGAATGGAATTGCCAAGGGCAGGAAGTCAGCTTAAAAAGGGTACACATTGCATAACTTCAACTATGTTACATTCTGGGTGTAGGGTAAAAGGACCAGCCAACAAAACCCACCCTGGCCCTGAAACCCAAGCCAGTGAAAGAAACACTTTAGCCCTGAACCCAGAACCTAAGAAACACACTCTGATCCTGAAACCAGAGCCAAAGAAATGCACTTTGGCCCTAGAATCAGAGCCAGTGAATGAAATACACCCTGACCTTGAACCTAGAACCAAAGAGCTAAAAGGACCAGTGAAAGAAACACAGTTTGGCTCTGAAACCAGAGCCAATGCTGCCTACTGAAGCAACCAATCCCTGAGCAGAAAACCTTCTCCCTTGGAGAAACTGCCCCTAAGAAGCCCTATATAAGACCCTCTGCCTGTTCAGTTGTGGGCTATCCTTTCCCACCCTGGTGGAGGCAGCTGCTCTCCTGGATTCCTCCTTCCCAAATAAATCTCTTTCTTAAAAGAGTTTTGGGTGAAGAATCTTTGCTGAGATGTTCCCTTAGGGGGGCTGAGCAGAAAAAAATGTAACAACTTTTCACCAGAGCTTAGCAGAGTGAAGCAGAAGAAGCAACATCTTGGGCCAGAGAGAAGAAGAAACAGAGCTCTGCTGGGAAGCCCCCTTAACCAGGGACAGAGCAAAACTCAGCTCTAAAGGTTTTCTCTAGGACAGGATCAGGATTGCTACATCCTACAGGGAGACCATTCCCCACCTCACTCCAGCTCCAGGTATAGCCTGTCTTCCCAACAAGTCAGAATACCTTTTCCCTCCAGAGCTGTCCCTTTGCAGCTCCAGGTATAGCCTGTCTTCCCAACAAGTCAGGATACCTTTCCCTCAAAGCTGTAACAGTCACACTGGGAAAGTCAAAACCGTGGAGATAATAAAAGGACCACTGAGCGCCAGAGACTAGAGGGGAGAAAGAAATGCATAAATGTACTACAAGGAGGCCTTAAGGGAGTGTGATTCTGTGGATATATGCTATACCTGTTTATACTTAGAGTTACCAGTATACACTGTCCTAGTTAGTTCCTGATTAGTTCCTGGTTAGTTTTATGTCAACTTTATAAAAGTTAGGGTTGTTTGGGATCAAATCCATCACACTTGCCTGAAGGTAAGTCTGTGAGGCATTTTCTTAGTTAGTGATTGACGTGGGATGGTCCAGTTCACTGTGAGTAGTGCCATCCCTGGGCAGGTGGTACTGGGTGTATAATAAAGCAGACTAAGCAAGCCTGTAGGCATTGTTCTCCCATGGCCTCTGCTTCAGTTCCAACCTCCAGGTTCCTGTGTTGAATTCCTGCCCTGACTTCTCTCAGTGATGGAGTATGTCCTGAGAGTTATAAGCTCAAATAAATACTTTCCTCCCCAAGTTGCTTTGGGTCATGGTGTTTTATCACAGCAGTAGAGACCCTAACTATGATATATAGCATGCAGTGTCAAGCGTGAACCCCAAGCTGGGTGGTGGTGGTGCACACCTTTAATCCCAGCACTCGGGAGGCAGAGGCAGGAGGATCTCTGTGAGTTCAAGGCCAGCCTGGTCTACAGAGTGAGTTCCAGGACAGGCACCAAAGCTACACAGAGAAACCCTGTCTCGAAAAACAAAACAAAACAAAAAAGAGTGAACCCCAATACAAAGTGTCAACTGTGTCAGGGTAGAGACGTCCATTGTGACAAAGCTACCTCTGGTGGCAGTGAGGGAGGACTGTACATGTGTGGCAAGCACAAAGTGGGGCTCTATGTTTTCTTCAGTGTTCCTGTTGCTGGACATAGTGGTGTATGCCTGGAACCCCCACACCTAGGAGGCTGAGGCAAGAGTATCGAAAGTTCAAGGCCATTTTGAGCTATGGGTTATACCTAGCATGACTCTATCTCAAAAGACTAGCTATTGTTATTAACCTGCTTCTCCTCTAAATAGATTTTATGAAAAATTCAAATCCTCTTCTCTAGACTGAGCAGGACAACAAGAAAAAAGACACAAATTGCTAAAATCCAGAGTAAACGTATGCATGATGGGGAGGGGAGGCAGTGGCACCAGGTGTAACTAAAAGATGGGCCTGTGTTCGTAACAACATGAGGAAATTGGAACCTTCGAATGGTGGCAGCGGGGATGCAAAATGGCTCAGCAGCTGTGGAAAACAGGTTTGCAGTGCCTTCAAAGGCTAAGTATAGAGCTACCAGATGACTTCACAACTGTACTCTTCAGTATGTCCTAAGAGAAGAAAACATGTCTACTAGTCATTTGTACTACAAATATTCACAATCTGTCTATAAATAATATCCCAACATGCAAACAACCAAATGCCCATCAATTGATGAGTGACTACTAAAATGTGATAGGTCAATTTAATACAGTATCATTCAACTATTAAAAGTGGGGTGATGGCCCATGCTGCAACATGAGGAAACTTCACATTTTGAGATGCCTATAATAAGCAAAATTCACACAGGTAGAAAGTGGATCGATGGTTTCCAGGAACTGTAGAAACAGAGAAATAGAGATTATGCTAACAAGTACAGTGATTTATATAATGAAATGGTCCTTTGTAGTGACTCTCCTCTATAGAATTCACAATGATGGTTGCACAACCGATTTACTGAGGAAAACCTCACTGAATAAAATGACCCACTGGATTGTATTTGCTAAATGGGGGGAACCTGTGCATATCACCACTAAAAAGTTTTAGCACTACTTTGAGATATCAGATTTTGCTAATCAAATCAGCTTGATAACACATTGTATTAATGAAGGTGTTCTGAACCAGGTACTTCCGTAGCCTGTGAACTGGATTATAAATTGATAAAACTATTTACAAAGAGCATTTTCATATTATATGATTGACCCAAGCAATCCTGCTTTCCAGAATTTATGCTTAGCACTGATTTACACTGCCCAATTTGTTTATAAAACCAAATGTTCTATTTGCGAAATGTTGTGACATTTGTAATATCCATTAGAGCAGTCTTTTTCTTTATAATTGATAAATCACTGAATTGGGAGTTGTGTGGGTGTGGGTGTGTGGGTGTGTGGGTATGTGTGTTGGGGGGTGTATTTGCTGTTTTATTTTGCTTTTGAAACAGGTTCTATCACTATGTGGCCAAAGCTGGCCTTGAACCCAAGATCCTCCTGCCTCAGCCTCCCAAGTGCTAGAATTATAGAAATGTGCCACGAAGCCAGCCTCTTAAAAGTTTTTAAATAGGGAAAATAATACTACAAATACAAAATGGAAATCTACAAAACAGAGAAGTCTGATAGTCCTAATTCCTGCCCTATGGCCACCTCCACCAACAAGCACATGGCTTCTGAAACGGGGCTTCTGAAGGTAAATTTTCATAGAGTGAGTTCTGACTATACTCCCTCTTATCTCAGGTCAAGTAGGCAAATGAAGGGAGGTCCCATGATTTCTCTGATGTGCATAAAATTGTCTTACCATCGCTTATAGTGATATTAGCAAGATCCACAATCTTATCAGGGAGTCCTTGAAGCAGCTTGCATTGTTTAAAGCTTGGTTTTTCCCATTGACACTTGCCAGTTTGGCTGCTGATAGAACTGCAAAAAATGGAATAAAGGAACAAGAGGCATGATCCAGCTTTCTCACTGAAGGAATAGGTGAGAGTAGTCTTAAAAGAAATGGTACTGCCGGGCGGTGGTGGCGCACGCCTTTAATCTCAGCACTCGGGAGGCAGAGGCAGGCGGATCTCTGTGAGTTCGAGGCCAGCCTGGTCTCCAAAGCAAGTTCCAGGAAAGGCACAAAACTACACACAGAAACCCTGTCTCAAAAAAAAAAAATGCTACCAGCTGGATACAGTGGCTCATGTCTATAATGGCAGCACTTGAGATGCTGAGACATTAGGGTCACCATAAGTTCCAGACCAGACTATGCTACAGGGTAAGAACTTGTCTCAAAATGAGTAATAATTACCATTAACTAATTAATTGATTAAATAAAAGCAAATGGAGGAGGACTTCTCCATACCTATGGCATGTCTTCCTGTGTCCATTCCCATCTTTTGAGTTTAAATAACACAGATGGAAGCCAAATAGCTAGGAATGGGACAGGGCAAGACTCAGCTCACCAAGAGTCAGTGAAGAGGCTTTGCATCTCTACATATGACTCTTTCCCTTCACTTTCCTCTCTTGCCTCTTTTAAAGAGAAAGTCCTGTTGGAATAGTCTTGTCTCCACAGAGTACATGTCTCCAAATGGTTAAAGACCCTTGTAGTTCCCTGTCCCTCACTGTCGGTGCCTCGTCCACTTCAGGCCAGTTCACGTCAGCCAGTGCCCTCACTGAGCACACACAGACTCCAGGGATAGGAGGAGGAGGCACCATAGACAAACGGGGCAGGGTCTTGGACCGCACTAGGAGCTTGGAATTGAGTGATCTTACACTCTGACTTGTGCAAAACGTAAGAAAGGGTTGCATAAGTAAAACTGAATCTATCAAAACACCACACAAGAAGAATTTCCTCCCTCCCTCCCTCCCTCCCTCCCTCCCTCCCTCCTTCTTTCCCTCCTTTCTTCTGTTCTTTCTTCCTTTCTTTGTATGTGTTTGCTGTGGTGACAGTGGTGAGTTTTGATGTTGGTGGGATTTTTTTGTTGGGGGGTTGTTTGTTGTTTGTTTTTATTTTAAAACAGGGTCTTACTCTGTAAACCAGGCTGTTCTGGAACTTCCTAAGGAGTGCTAGCTAATCTCAGACTCACAGCAATTCTCCTGTCTTGGCTCTTGGAGTTATGTGACTACAGGTACAAAACACTCATGTCTGGTTAAGGGGACTTTTCAGCATTTAAAGTGAGCTAAGCCTGGCACAGAAAGGCCATATACCTCCCTGCTGCCACCAGTCAGAGAAAGAGACACAAAGAAGTAGTAGTCATGTCTACAATAACAAATTATCTCTTCAGCTAGAGTACATGGTGAAGGGACGGAGCCAAGAATGACAGGAAAGGCAACCTGCTGTCTTGATGACTGTGCTAGAGGTTTGGACTCCATTCTTGAACAAAAGTCTGCCACGGTAGCAGCCAGACTTCAGAAAATCATGCTGGCAGCATAGTGAATTGGGCTTGAGGAGTAGTGGACTGTGAGAAAGCATGCAGACAGCTCTAATAGTAGGCAAGAGCTCGTAAAGGGTTTGTACCAAGGAGTGTGCTGCAAAGGAGAGGCTCTATGTGAGCTCTGGCTGTGGCTGCCAAAGTTGCTTGCTTTGTTGACTCATTAGATGAGAGCAGGGGGGGGGTATGATACAGTCAGAGATGTGACTACCAGTGCTTTGAAGCCTCTGTTGAGACCTGCTGCCCCTCTGTTCTGCCCATTTAAGTTATTTGGCATACACCATTAACAGCGGAGAGTAAGAAAATAAGGCTGATGATTTTAAAGGGGAAAATGATAAACTGAACAATAGAAGAGTGATGGAGTAAATTATGATGGCCCATCAGCGAGATAGCAGCTGAGGCTGGCTTCAAATTGATCATTAAAAAGATGAATGCAAAGCATGGAAATGTTTGATAAACTATTGAATGAAAGGGCAAATTACATTATTGGTATGTAAACCATGGTTACCACTACAGAAAACTTAAAGACATACAGAGAAGGGCAAGACTGAGGGTTGGGGGGAGACAAAACAAATACATGCCAACCTAATAACAGCTATGTTGAGGTGGTGTGGTTGTGGGTGAGTTTTTTCTTTTGTCTTCTTGAAATTTGTATTATATTATATGTGCATGTTTAACTCTAAAGGGTGAAAGAAAGAAAGGATTGGCAGTTGGAGTGAAGGAGAGGGTCTAAAAAGAATGACATAGAAACACCCCCCAAATGGAGCAGCCCTTGTTGCATATAAACTAGCATTTGGGACCTCACAGATACATACCAGATTCTTGTGACGTTCCTATTCTCATTTTTAATGCACCTTACTTGGGCTGTCTCAGTAGGGTCAGTTAATGGCCACTTATATGTCCCTTTGTATTTTGAGGGTGTTTCATCTGCTTCACATTTTCCTGGCTCTATAGAGAAAAATGTATGCAACATTTTCAAGGGCAAAAGGCACTTAAAAGTATCATCAACATCCATTATGACCAATCCTTATTACCCTGCACACGACCATCAGCATATACAAGAGGGAACCATTTCAACCAGGACATTTAAACTAAGCTTCATGGAAACCAGTTTTAAATTCAACTTTTGTTTAAATAAGCCTTTCAGTGTAACCTCAAGTTTAGTCCTTTTCATTAGAACCACCCACTGGTGGGGGTGTGGTTGCTTTTTCCCATTTTTAAAAATTCTTTGATGTATATAATGAAATTTGGAAAGAGATTTTTTAAATGCTAGATACACATTGGGAAAAAAATCAAACCACAGAATGGGTACTAAAATAACACATCTGGGAGTCTCTGTCTGCTGATTGTCTTTCTTGCGAAGTATGCACTGTTGTTATCATTTTGCTATGTAACCTAGGAGACTGTGGACAGACATGTCTTCCCCATGGTAGTCATCTACTTCTTAGTGGTCTCAGGTGGATTTGGTTTCAATAAAATCAGTATGCCTGCCATGACCAATACACCCATGGCCATGATGCCTCTGCTGATGACCACTACACCCAGGGCCACAATGTCTCTGCTGAAGAATAAGACTGAAACTCCACCCATAGAAGGCTGCTGAGCCACACTTTTGCTACCAGGCCTTGTCAAATTAAGAGAGATGTGGTCTAAGCTAAGTCTATGTGAAAGTCCCCAGTCCTTACAGAGTGCTTACTGCATCTATGATCCTGACTCTTGACATTTTCCCTTAGATAGAGACAGTGACCCAAAAAGTGAGCCAGCCAGATCTGTCTAATCTTCTCTATGAGCAAGCAAGAAACTCACCTCCTTCTCCCTTCCAGGACACACTGATTAGTGTTATTTACATGGTGGGCTCTGACTGTGGCCTCCACTCTTCTCTGCCTCCATCCCACTCTAACCTTGTGCAAGCACAGTCTCTGCTATTTAATTAGCTTGCTGCCAAGGACAGTCCATTCGAATGCACGTGTGTTAACTCAAAGTTTTTACAGCATTCTACTGGGGAAAGGGACAAAGCTGGCAGCAATGGGAAGGAGGAGGTGCAGTGGCCTGGTAGTCTTTCTCTTTTACCACTGAAGCTTTCCTAATTAGAAAAGAAAATGTCCATGAGGGAAATCTGGGACAGTTCCCAGATCATTTCCTAAGATGAATAGGTTGGCTGAATCAGTCAATAAATTAGCAATTATCTATAGGGCATGTACTGTGTGTAATGACAAAGCCCACCCCCCATGTCTCCAAGTTTTCATACTAGAGAGGCAATCCTCTCACACTACTCATAGACCAGCCACTGTTGATATTCAGAGCTGACCAATAGTCCCTTGTAAAGTCTCTGTTATTCATTTATAAACTCTTAAAGGTAGAAGAGTCATCAGCACATGTGGCCATAAGTTTACGTGGAAAGATGACTTCTCAGCTGGGCATAGTGACTCATACCTATAAGCCCAGCATCCAACACTTAGGATGCAGAGTCTGAGGTAGGAGGGTTTTAATGAGTTAAAGACTTACTTGGGTTATATAGTGAGTTCCCAGCCACCCTGGGATACAAACAGAAACCTTGTCTAAAAATAAATAAATAATAAATCTTTTCTTCCCTCTGAACTTTAGCACCTTTACAGCATATTCACTACGAGTTTTATAATAAGAAAAGTGCACTTATACTGAAGTACCCTGCCAAAAGCATTACCTAGCTTTTCCACTACAACATGGTCCGACTTTACCAGGAGAGTCAATCGATCTCGTGTGAAGTTTGCATGTGTGAGGTTCCCATGTATCTTTGTTCGGATCCTGCTGATCAGTTCCACTGATTCCAAAGAGGAGTTGGCCTTTATAATGACCCAACAGGCACAACTACAAACAAGGCAAAAAAAGAAACACTGCAGTCAGGTCAACCGTGTGCAGTGTAGCCAGTGCTGCTGAAGTTCTATAGAGTTGCCCTCATTGGTAGGCCATAAGTATTAAATATTGTTTAGCCACTAAGTGATAGATGTTGAGAAATGATGAAAGACAGTACAGGGAAATATTCTAATAAATTTTCTTGCATCCATCCAAAAAGAACAACTCAAAACCTATTTTCAAAAGAATGGTCTACAACATTTGTAATATGTTGAATTGCCTAGCCAGGAGATTTCTCTAGGAGTTTGTAATAATTAATAGGGAAGACAGAGTACTCAGGAGTTACTATTTCAGAGAAAACCTTTTATCGTTATGGCCCTTCAATTTATTCATCATCACTGCAATAGGGCAGATAGGCACATGTCCAATTAGTCTATACAGAAGTGTTCTACTGAAGGCTTAGTTCTATAAAAGACTAATAATGATGATAATGATAGCTAACAATTATGGAGTTCTTGCTCCACATGTTTTGATTCATTTAATTCTCACAAAAACCTTATGAAGTAGTGATGTTATGGTTCCCATTCTACAGATGAGAGAACTGAGGCTTAGGGAGATAACATTTCCTGCAAAATCTACCAAGCATTTTTATCCACTAAAAGATAATAAAGAATAGAGCAGTCCCTGATCTCAATCTCTACAATAAGGTCTTTTAATATTCTAGATTGCTCTAGTATTATACTGGTGAAAATATTTCAGACTCACAAACTTGCCTACTTCTTTTTTCCATTTCCATTTTTGCACATAGCTTTTGATGAACATACTCACTGAGCTTCTTAACAGTTGTTGGAAGTTAGATGCCCTGGCCTTTATGTCAAATTTCTCCATATGGCAAATCAAAAGAATTCCTATCCTTTCCCTGACCTACACTCATCCTACCACTTCTAATTGGAGGCCATCTCTTCTCTGAGTTCATATTTCCACTGTGAAGAGGACTAGGCTGTTTGAACCTCTCCTCCTCACTTACAGATGACCCTCAGTTCAGCACCTTGGACATGTCAATAATCTCTCCCTGAGCCTTCTTTGGCTCTGTGTCCTTCATGATGTGTATCAAACAGACAAGCAATAACCATTGTTCCAAGAGGATCTGGCCCATGAGTGTGAACACTATCTGGGGTGTTTTCCATGAGGTTGTCACTGTTTTCTCAGCATGTCATTGACATTATTGACCATAACGAACATTTTATTTCCCTATCCGAAATTACAACTACTTTGGACCCCATTTCCTCTTCCTATAAAGAGGCAGCAGCCAGGCTGCTAAGACTATGCTATGACCAATGGAAACAACTTAGCCTGTGGATACAAAAGTTTAATTAGAGCAGCTATGAAATAACCACCAGGTACTTTAATCTCCTTCTGACAACTCTCACCAAAAGGCTGCACATTGCACATACTGAATTAAAAAGAAGGCAAATAAGAACTAAATGTACCAGCTATGAATAAACTTATCTCCTACCTGTATGGTATATGAAAAATTGTAGCAATTCCTTGACCTTTTTTCTGTTCCAATCCATGCAAAAAAAAAAGGACACGGTCACTGAAATCTCTGAACAAATATCAAATTTAAATAGAGGGCTTATCATTAACAAGAAAATCATAATTATTCTTTACATTCACACAACCACTGCCTTCTTCAAATATCCCTAAAGCACACTAATGTGTTTAATCTTCAAACCAAGCCTGAAGAGTGGATAATACATGGACTGTCACTCCACTTTCTAGATGAAACATCTGACTCTCAGGGATGTTAATGATCTACTCAGCATCCCAGTCCAAGCCTTCTGGATGCTGACACGGTAGTGAAGATAAACATAAAATGTTTGATCATCCTAAGCTGAGTTAGCACTTAATAGAGCTTGGTTAGCTCTGTATGTCTAACAAATAAGGAAGTGGAGGCACGGAGAGGTTGATTCATTTGCCCTAGTTCCCACAGTCAGAATGGGACGGAACTAGGAGCTTTAGCAAATTACCACACGAGAGCTTTTAGACATAGTATTTACAGAAATTTCAGTTCAATTGTCTTAGTTATATTTCAGTCATATTGTCTGTTGCATTTTTAAATTCTGACAGCTGTTTATAGCAAGTATTTTAAATGATGGCAGATGACTTAGAAGAAACTATTGGATTTACTGTATTTTATGTAGTCAAAATATTTATCTCATATTTAAATGTCTTAAAAGCTGTGTGGTTTCTAACCATTTTCGAGTGTACCAATGCACAGTTCTGAGGAGCTGAAATAAGTACTGGAATCAGGGTCAAAGAAGATGGCAGCTTGTCTGCTGTGCTCTAACTACAAATACATGCTAGAGGAGAGGTTTAGATTTGTGAGGCGAATTGCAGACTTACAAACAATTGCATCTTGGAAGAGTAAGGCTTTTCTGTGAGATGTGTCCACAATCAAGAAATAATACTATTATTTATGATTCCTAAGTCCCTCCACACACCCTGCCCACAAAATCTTCCCCAAAATGCTGCCACACGGTCGTTTTAGAAGAAACAGAGGGTTGCTTTCTTGATAGGTCCCTGTGCCAATCCTAAAGGAAATAATTTGATCCTCACCTTTCACCACTGAACTTGCCTGGTAATATACTCCTAGGAAAAAGAGCTACTTACTTATGGCTAATCATTTTCAGAATGGGTCACAAGTAGGTTCATTTTGAAAAATTACTTACAATATGTCTGTACATGTCCATCTCTTCTTCAGAAGTCTTTCTGTATCAAAAGCATCACAAAATTATAAAAAATGAAATGTAGCACCAAATGCATGGATTACAAGGTAAGGCTAATGACAGGTGTGAGGTAGCATAATTCCAACCGTGCTGGAGCTCCAAGGGGACCCTTGGAGTGAGCTTCAACATTATTTGCATACTAAAGTGGTGCTGAGACTTGCTCAGCAGCAGTGCATTAAAGAATACATGTACAGTGGTGGGAATTACTCAAATATCTATGTAATCATTACATTAAAGTGAATAAGCTAAGCTCAGGATGGTGGGACATGCCTTTAATTCCACTACCTCTGAGCAAAAGTAGGTAGATCTCTATGAGTTTGAGCCCAGCCTGAGTCTACATAGCAAGTTCCAGGACAGTCAGAGCTACACAATAAGACACTGTCTCAAAAAAAAGAAGAAAAGAACATAAGCTAACTTTTATATTATGATATAGAAGATGTACATGATTTATTATGAAACAAGAAAAGAAAGTTCTTAAACAATATATAGACTAGGAAGTCTCTTACTAAATACATTTTAAAAACTAGAGGAGCCGGGCGGTGGTGGCTCACACCTTTAATCCCAGCACTCGGGAGGCAGAGGCAGGTGGATCTCTGTGAGTTCGAGGCCAGCCTGGACTGCCAAGTGAGTTCCAGGAAAGGAGCAAAGCTACACAGAGAAACCCTGTCTTGAAAAACCAAAAAAAAAAAAAAAACTAGAGGAATATATGGTATTAGATGTTCACAGGTATTCTTCAAAGGGTAGGAAAAACGTGGGCTTTATAGATTGTCCATATTCGTGTCAGAGATTTCTATACATTAATTCTACATACATTTTACAGTGGCAACATTACTTTTACATTGAATAAAAACAACATGTGACTTGTAAAACAATATTGGAGACTCCAAATATCTCCTGTTTGCTTTTAATCTTTTTGGGGGGTGTTGAATTTTTGTGTCTAGTCAAAATTCTTATGTTGAAGTCTAATGAGATGATGCTAGATGATGAGCTCTTTGGAAGGTTGTTAGGTAACGAGGGTGGAGCCCCCATGAAGAGCATTTGTGAACTAGTAAACATCTTATGTAAAGACAGAGTGCTTCCTGTCTGTGGCCCCTAGCATGTGAAGACTCAAGAAGGTCCTTCCTCGGGATCCAACCACACTGATTGCACATCCTCCCAAACTGTGAGGAAAACACTTGGTGTGGCTGGGGCCAACTAGTCTGCAGTCTATCGCTATGGTAGCCCAAACTGAGACAATAACCAATGATAATCTCCATTTATAAATAATCCTTCGCAAACCTATTTTTGTTTGAACACACGAGAGAAACCGAAGAGCCAACATAGAGAGAGTAGGCAGTCACATGGAGGGGCAGCCACCTGTGACAGTGTTCTGAGGTGGCACTTAGTGTGAGGCGTCTGAGTCCTAGGATCAGAGGCTTTCTAGATGGACCGAAGCCTTTCTCATGTGAGTGCATTTTCACTCTCCTGAAACTGGATTTGTTACACTGAGAGTAAGATGCTGCCAATGAGTCTGATTTACTGTTTTCCTCTCTGCATTGTTTTCTTTTCTTTTATTCTTCCATTGGTTTTACAACCTACAGTGAGACAAATGCATTCTTCATTCCTAGATATCAACAGAGGAAACTCACAGACCCAGGTGGTCCCTCTATTTCCGTTCAACTCACAGAAGATGCCATTTACATACCTGCTTTTGATTTGAATAGCCAAGTTAGCAAGAGAAAATTCGCTGTTTTGAAACACAAAGTTTAACTGTAAAAGCAAAAAGCAGAAAAAAAGAAAACAGGGGATGGATGGTCAGTGTTCGTGGGGCCTCTCTTCCATTTTTAAGTCAAGGAAGTCCCTTGGGACAGTGTGAGCTGCAGTTGTCATTTCAGTGAACCCAGCATTTCCAAACGTGCTCCGGTTTTTTTTTTTTTTTTTTCACACTGTTAGGAGCTAAGGGGCCCTCCAACTTAACTTCAAATATGGAAGCCCCAATCTGCAATGTGACCAAATTTGTCTATAGAGCTGTTAGGGGTGACCAAAGTGAAAGGTCGAGCCCAAATCCAATAAGAATTGTTCTGCTTATAAGACGACAAAGAGAAAGCCGAGATACATGTGCACAGAAGAAACACCATTTGAGGCACAGCAAATCTCATCCAAATCTAAGCCTCCTCACACTGTCCCAGGAAGCTTCTACCCCACCCTGACTCCCATCCAGAACTGAGAGATTACAAATGGCTGTTTTAAAGTGTAGCTTTGTAAGGCAGCCTGAACACTCCCAGACACTTACTATTTTCGAGCACTTAGAATTGGGTCATACACACTTGAACATAAGTGCTAATGGAGAACAGGAAAACCAATATGATCATTCACTGCTGAGCCTAAGGTGCACATTGGTGCTGTTACTTACATGAAGACCATTTGATGATAACTTTTAAAATGTAAAATGTTCATGACATTTGATCCAGTGATTAAAAACTTAAAAACTAATCCTATAAAAATATTCAGGGGTCTCTATAATAGTCGGAAGAACATTGTTTTATCACTATTTAAAATAGAGAAAATATATAAACAACCTAAATGCCTACTAATAGACATCCAGATTTGAAAATGAAATGAAAATCTCTGTTTCAGACATACAGTAAAATCTTATGCTTCTGCTAAATGGTAAAAGGCAGAGCTTTTTCCACTACCACATATGTGCTCAGAGATGCATAGTAAAGTGTTACTGGTGTTCATCACTGGTAAGATGTTTGCCAAGTCTATACAAGGATTTGGGTTTGCTCCCCAGAACTGAAAAAACCCAGAGGTAACTAACTAGCAAGGGAGTGAGTTAAAGAGAGAGAGGCATAATTAGTATGATATCAATTCTTTTTCTGAAAGAACACACCCCTATAACTGTATAGAAAAATCTCATAGAATATACCTTAACTTATTAAGAGGCGCAGTAGAGGACAGGAGTTGTCTGTTTTAGGTGTTTTCATATGAACTTCAATTGCACAGTATGCATTAGTTTTATTATCAAAAAATTTAAGGACAAGTAAAATATTTACTGTGTTGTAGACAAACAAAAAATAAAGTACAGAAAATAAATCTATATGAACACTATGCCATAGACTTTGTCATCACTGCTCTGTTTTCCCCAGCTAGGAAAATTTGGCAATGACTCAGAATTTGTCTCTGTGGAGGAAAATGTACATATCTCAACAAATAAAAATAATAACAGCTCATAAAAGCTTTCAACACTGCTACTATGAAAGAAATTACATACATCTTCAGAGTGTTGCCTACAGAGTAAATAAATGTGCAGTGAAAACAATCTAAACTGATTATCTGTGAAATGGATTATCAGTAGAAAAGGGAGTCTACCTTCAATCTACCCAGTCTTGGTCATGTGTATTCAACAAGTACCATAAATATTTAAAAGAGCATTTTACCCAATCTTTTGTAAATTCATGAATAACAGTAGTAATGAGGACTCTTGGCTCTTCATCAAAGACAGAGAAGCTCATTTTGGTATTATAGAAGGAAACTGGAATGAAAAATAAACAAATTTTTGTTATTTACATCAAGGAATCTGATTCCTCAAAATTTGATCAGATCCATTGTAAAGCAAACAAAACAATGGTTTATTTTCATTCCTAAATTTTGCTTAGTTTAACATCAAGAATTGGCATCTGGGGCTACATAACCAAGAGCAAAACATGCAAGGTGCTACCATCCCATCTTTGCTTTGATTATGTGGCCATTTTCCCAGGTTTCAACAAAGTTTCTACACAGACTTGCTGCAAATCCCCTAAATTTTGTACTTTTATCAGCCAACTGATTTCTAGCTCATTCAATAGCCACACTAAATGCTGTTTTAAGATCATTTGTCCTAAGAAAGTAATTGTTTTCTCCTCACTGCCTTCTTTCTCCTTCAGAGTTTTCTCTCTTTATGTTCCTCTTGATCTTGTCTTGCAGTATGTTTATTTTAGAATCTTTCTTCCTTTTTTGTTTTTGGTTTTTGGTTTGTTTTGTTTTGTTTTGTTTCGTTTCATTTTGTTTTGTTTTGTTTTTGAGACAGGGTTTCTCTGTGTAGTTTTGGTGCCTGTCCTGGACCTCACTCTGTAGACCAAGCTGGCCTCGAACTCACAGAGATCCGCCTGGCTCTGCCTCTCAAGTGCTGGGATTAAAGGCATGAGCCACAACCTCCTGGCTTATTTTAGAATCTTAAGAGTTACAGGTCCAAGCCAAGGAAATGGATCAGCAAATAGAAGTACTTGCTACCAAGCTTGATGATTCAATGAGCTGAGTTCAATTCTTGGGACTCAGATGGTGGAAAGAGAGAGCTGGCTTCCACAAGGTGTCCACCTTCCCCACAAGGACACAGTTATATACATGCCCACACACATACGTGCATAAAAGAAATCAACAACTAGGGGCTGGAGAAATGACTCAGCAGTTAAGGACATTTGCTGCTTTTGCAGAGGACCTGTGTTTGGTTCCCAGCACCCATATGTTGGCTCACAACCACCTGTAACTCTATTTCCAGGGGATCCAACACCTTTTTCTGGCCTCTTTGGGCACCAGGCAATCATGTCATGAAGATATATACATGCAAGCAAAATACTCGTACATATAAAGTAATATAAAAAATAAGAAAAATGAAATGTTAAGTAAATGTTTTAAAAGTTGCAGAACCATTCAAATTTGAACAATATGGATGTCAGATACTCCCAACTATGGATAAGTATTTCTAGTCAATTAGATGTAGCGATTAGAGAGGGCTCAGACCTACACAGGATAAAATTCAAAAAGCAAAATACAATGATACAATTGTGGTTTGTGTGTATGTGTGTGTTGTTTTGTTTTTTGTTACTGGTGGTGGTGGTGGTGGTGGTGGTGGTGGTGGTGATGGTGGTGGTGGTGTATGTGTGTGTGTATGTGCATGTGCACACGCATATGCATATTTTCTGTTGTGTGGTAAGCATCATCAGACCTAAGGGCATATGACCCTTTTTTTATTTATTATATGTATTGGTTTTGCCTACGTGTATGTCTGTGCACCATGTCCATGCCTGGTACCTGAGCATGTCAGAAGAATGCATCAGATCTCCTGGAACTATAGTAATATGGGGAGTTTGAGTCTCCATGTAGGTGCTGGAAATTGAACCAGGGTCCCCTGGAAGAGCAGACAGTCCTCTTAATAGCTGAGCCATCTCTCTAGCCCTCCCACCCCCAGTATGTTCCTTTGACAGGGTAAAGATGATGCTCCTAGTCTGTATTCCCATGGGCAGAGTCACAGTCAATATATCAAGAACAAAACAACTGTAAGGGATGCTTCCAAATGCCATGCTGGGTGAAAAGATCCATTTGCAATATAGTTAAGTAAAGACAAGAAATATGGATTGAGGGTTCTGTGCTTAGACAAGTTACTTGTGTGCCAAAGACCTTAAGGAAATAAGAAATACATGCACCTTCCCCCTCATTTTCTGTCTTCAGAAAACTTGGAGAACAAATGGGCCATTCATTGTTCATACAGTCTGTTAAGGGTATATGAATAAAATACCTGTAGACACTGTAGCAGTTGGTAAAGTAGATGCTTGTGTAAACAGAAAGGAAAATGTGGAGTCTATCCAGGTTGTCTTAAAAGATGAAGAGATTAGTGAAGACCCAGTTGCTGTAGAAGGACGTGTCATCTCAGCAGACATCCATGGAAATGAGGGCCCTGTAGCTATGGATGGAGTAGTGGCTATATTCATAACAGAGTCCTGTGTGGGTTTAGGAGGAATTAAAGTATGGGATTCTGATGTAGCTGGGACTTTACTCCACACAGCTGTTTTTGTAGGGCTAGACACAGACAGAGAACCTGTAGGTAGGTCGTGACTGGTTATAGAAGGTGATATACTCATTCTACTAAAGGACCTGGGTTCAGACACAGTCCAGGAGTTGTCAGCCACAGTAGTCCTGGCGGATGATTCAAGGGCTGTAGGAGTGTGTGGACTGTCACCTTTGGTTTTTGTAGATATGGGCAGAGAAGTCAGAGAGTCAACAGTGATGATGTCCAGTGTAGCTACAGGAGTGCTTTGGGTGGGTATGGAGCTTCCATCAGAAAAGGGCACTGTTGTAAAGTTAGGGGGTGTTGCTATTGTGTCAGAAGCTGGAAACATGGACTCTGCCATTTCTCCTGCAGGTGAAGTTAGAAAATGAGGAGGATTAGATACAGATGTCAGAGAGCCTGAAGGGAGACTAGATAAGCTCCAAGTCGGTGAGGTAGCCCTGGAAATGGCGGCCAACATGGTAGGGAGAACTATGGAAGACACTGATAATGATGTATTCTCAGTAAGCCCAAAAGTAGGAAGGCTTTCTAATGTAAAAATTGATGGCATCGCTGTAATAGCTCTAGAAACCAGACCAATCTGAGATGTTGACAAAGTCCCGGGAGTAAAGTGAAGAGTTTCTGTTTCCATTCTGTTTGGTGTCATTACATTAGTTGTGAAAACGGGAAACGGAGAGTCTTCACCTCTGGGTGTGTTTCTGGAAGTTGTAAGTAGAGACTGAGTAGTACGAGGTGTGATTCTTGTTCCTTGTGTGGGAAATTCAGCCGTTTGAGATGTAAGAGGAAACTTGGCCTCGGTACTATGAGGTGAGTAAAGAAATGATGTCAAAGAAGGCGGAGTTGCACTCGGCTGGGTCCATGAAGGGTATAAAACAGAAGTATTCACATGTGAACTGCTCTTTGTTAGTTCACTGGTTAGCAAAATATTCCCTGACAAGGAAGTCATCTTTCCTGTATCACGGGAAAGATACGTCAGTGTGGATTTTACACTTTCTGGAGGTCTAGGGGTGCCTTTAAAGTTAGTCACAGATGGGGAAACCTGAATATCTGAGGAAGTATAAAAACTGTCTAAAGGAGTAGATGGAAGCCCACTTGCAGGGATGGCAGTTATAGAATAGGTATTGATGGGTTCTGTCACTCCACCACTGCTCTCAGTAGACAGGGAACTGGTGGTAATCCCAGGCAGTATGTCCAGAGTGGTAGACTCCTTTTCTTGTGGTGATTGCTGGGTTGTTGAAAGTAGCGAAGAAAACATGGTCTTTGGGATAAAGGAAATAGCTTCAGTATTCTTAGAACTGAACAGAGAGGAGGTAGTTGTGCCTATAACTGAAGTCACGGTCCCAGCCGCAATAATGGTTGGAATAGTTTTCACAGATGAAAAATCTAGTTCTGCTGGAGAGGAAACAGGTGCAGTTGTAGTCTTGAATGGCATCTCTACCACTTGTAAATTAGTGAAAGTAGGGGAAACCGTTGTGATTTGTGAAGTAGGTCTAGAATATGACACTGGTGTGATATTCAATGTTGATACTTGAGTGGTTTTAGTAGTCTTGGGGGGAGGTGAAGACACCGAAGTAAAGAATGCCCTCAGTCTTGTGGAAGTGTCAGAAGAAACCACTGTAGTTGAGAAATCAGAGTCATTAACCAGCTTTGAAGGTTTCTCAGACTTAAGCCCAGAAGTACCTATAGAAAGACTTTTCAAATAGCCTGAGTTTATGGTTCGGGAAGACTTAGTCATTAGTATTGTAGGGGTGTCAGAAACCTTTTTAGGGGTGACGGTAGTGACATTGAGTGGTAATAAAGACATCTGGTAAGTAGGAGTGGATGTTTCCATGGAGGTCTCCCCAGGCAAGTTTGTAGGTTCATTTGGAACAGAAAAGACTGTAGTGCCCCCGTTAGCAGGGATCATCGTAAAATTGGTACTGAGTAGTCCAGTTGTGAAAGGAGAGAGGGACTTAAGGAAAGTCTGTGTGTTTTCAGAAGTGGAAGAAGCAATCCATGTCGACTCAGGTTGTGTTTTAAGTAAAGGCAGGTGTGAAAGAGTTGTGTCGGTGAGCACAGGATGTGATATTCTAGCTGTCCTGGAAATTGTAGTGTCTACAGGTGAAGTAGCCTGGTGACCTGTGTCTGGATGAGTCAAAGGAGAGGAACTCACTATCTTTTCCACAGTCCTGGAAGGATATTCTGAAAGGGTACTTGTCCTTTCTTTATCAGGAGACAAAGATTTGGTTATTGTCTGAAGTTGTGAAGGGAGTGCTGTTTCCTCAAGACTAGTCAACCCTTCTGAAACATGAACACCTATTATGGTACTTGAGGTCAAGGTTTGTGTGGTCTGTGTGCTTCCAGCAATAGACGTGGTTAAATTCCCAGAAGTTGGATTCCCAGGTGGAATCTCCGAAGGCAAATGTGTTTGGTGGCTAGAGATTTCTGTGGTCTCAGAAAATTCTGTGTCTGTCATTTCCCAAGGGAAGGTGCTCTGGGAGTCCGAAATAAAGGAATTCTTGGATGGGGAAATTTCTGCCGCCCTTGTAGTTCTGAGAGTTTTCCCCATGGAGGTGTTGGTCTGTTCATTCTCAGAAGAAAACATAGAGGTTGCAACTGTCAACTGGGTGGAGATGGGTGTGTTTACAAAATATGTGGTAGATTTGGTGTCTACTGAGGTAGTAAGTTTATTGACAGAGGTCAGGGGGGACATGGTCTCACCACCAGTAGATGACTCTGTGGGTCCAGAAGCCATATTAACATCTCCACTACTACTAAAAGTATAGGGAAAGCTAAAAACATGAGTTGAATCCTCAACTTGAGATACAGATGATGTTGCTACTGATGTAGATGTAGTTGAGCTAACATAAGTAGAGGCCACAAAAGTAATGTTGCTAGGAGGAGGCCTTGAGCAGACAAGAGTATGTATGGATGGACTTACTAAGTCAGCTGAGATGGAGGGAAGGGTGTTTATAGCCTTAGTTATCATCACAGGAGTGGGAGGTCTCAGTGAGGGTACCAAAGTCTCTCTCAGAGAGGAAACTGCCGTGAGTGCTGTTGTGGAAGAGATCTCTGTGAACTCTGAAGTGGTATGAAGTGAGTCTCTGTGGGTAGGCATGATATCACTGGTGGTGGAAGGTGTTGGACTCACTGGTGGCACCACTACTGTGGTCATTGTCACCGTTGGTAGAGGTGATCCAACTGATAGCACAGATGTAGTGAAGTCCCTGGCCAAAGTAGAAGGCTGAGACAGGGTCACTGTGGTCTCATCAAAAACTGCCATTCTGGTGGCAGGAGAGGTGACAGCAGAGACATTAACTGGCAGTGAGAACTTGTGGGTAGTAAGATGAGGGGTTGCTGAGGAAGGAGTTGCTGCAGTCTGTGGTGACAAGATGCAAGCAGACAAAGACACAGCTGTCTTGTGTGAAGGAGTAGTGGAAAAAGTGGATCCCATTATCCTTGTTGAAGAACCCAGAAGTCTGGGGAGTGTCTGGGTGCTCACAGAAATGGATGATGAAGCCGACTTCCCCTCAGATGTCTCTGAAGTCCAGTGTACTGTATAGGTATGGTTCAAGTTAAAGGTTGCTGTAGTACCATCATATGAACTCTCAGGTGTGCTTTTCATCAGTTTTGTTGAAAGCCAACTCACTCCCACCGCAGTAGTTGCAGTTTCATTATCCAATGCAGTAGTCAATTTTTCTCTATCTGAAAAAGGGGAAACAGTGACAGAAGCTGTCACCATTTGTGTTGATTCATCTGTTGCTTCCAGCATTGCTGAAAATGGAGAAACCTCAGCTACTGCTGCTATAGTTGATTTTACCTTAGGATGATGGGAAGTGGTTTCTTTTGTCACAGTGGTGTAGACTCTCTGTGCTGTTGCAGACATTGGTAGAGGGGCCATAGTAACACCAAATGTGCTCATACCATTTGTATTCATTTGTGTTGTCTCAGAAATGTTCTTCTCAGTAGAAAAAGTTGGTTTAATGTCAGCGAGGGTAGACACATCCAATAAAGGAACAACTGTCTCCCTTGATATTGAGGGAAGTTCATTTGCAGCTACTGTGGGCATAGAGGTGCTTTTCAGTAATAAGGTGATAAGTTTAGCCTCAGGCTGACTAGTTATAGATGTGATTCCAGTAACACTGGAGAAATTACTAAGCCACCTGGATGTTGATTTGAATAGAGCTGTTGTATACCTGGTTGTAGCAGGATCAGAGCTAGTGGTACCCTTGCTGTCTGTGGATGCTTCAAGTAGGGTGATATTAGTAGTCATGGATGAATTATCTATATTAGTAGTACTATCTTGGAATGATGATGTGAGATTTTCATTAGGCATGAATGTAGGTATGGTGGTTGTATTTGTAGAGGTCAACAGGATTTGATTTGGCTTAGAAGTCCAAGTAGTCTCATTGGTGAAGAACTGATAGTCAATTTTATCAGTTACAGATATGAGACCTGATTCAGTTGCATTGTATGTAGAAAGTGACTTAGTAGAAATCAAAGTAAGCATGGGCTCATCAGTTGTGGGTGTATTCTGGGTGTATACTAGCCCCTCCATGGTAGGGAAGAGTGAAGTTTCAGCCAATGTAGGGACAAGTTTGGTTCTGGGAGTTAAGACTAGATGTGTACTCTTAGTATCAGTGACTGTCTGTTCACCTCGAGTTCCAGTTACTGGAGAGGATGTAATAGAAGAAAAGACCATAGAAGAGGTCTCTTTAGGCCCGGGGGTATATATAGCATCCTCTATGCTCGGTGAAAAGACAGCTTGGGAATTTGAAGATACTGACTCTGTTTTCACTGTTCTTGGGGCAGGTGTGGTCCTCATAGGCAACACTGAATGGACTGTGAATGCCATTTCTGCATCAGTTGTTGACAAGGTAGATGCCACCTGATTTCCGGAAAACACAGAATTCATAGGAGCAGCTGTGGAGGTAAGCAAAGACTCTGCTGGGAAGGTTGATGCAATCCCAATGTCAGTAGCCATAGCTGAAGTCTCTTCTAGTGTGGACCAAGATGCAGTTCTGGCAGCTGAAGATACAAGAAATTCATACCCAGATTTAGAGGTAGAGAGTGTAGCAACATCTGTGGATTTGTGTTTGGGGCGAGATGTTGTAGACATGGATGTCGACTCAGTCATCAAAAATGAAGTTGCATTCCCAGCAGCTGACTGGGATTTAGTTGTTAAAGTTTCAGATACAATAGAATTCTTGGTAATTCCAGATGTGTTAAAGAAATCAGTAGCTGTAGTTGGATGAAAGGTTTCAGTACCCATGACTTCCAACATTTTTGTTGTCTTTGTTTTTCCTAAATTTGAGTGTTGAGTTACTTTCATGGAGCCAGGGGCAGTATGAATGGGTGTACTCTGGGTAGACAGAGGGATAGATGTTGAAGTAAACAAGACATCTGCTGAAAATGTAGCTGTCTGGGCCATAGATGTCTTTAAATCTTTTGATGCACTCACTGTTGCTAGAGGTGAGGGTATTGTATTAGAATAAGATATGGCTGCATGATTGATTGTAGAAACAGGCATGCTTTCTGATGACACTGTGGATGGATGTACAGTCTTCTGTGGGTTTAGCGCAGTAATTTGGAAAGGAGTTGTTAAGTCTATTTGCTGTGAAACAGTTGTACTTGTTTCTTGAATTGTCATATTTTCAGAAACAACTGAAAAATCAGAAAGCATGTGTTACTTTAGATTCAGCCTTAGAAATTAGAGACAATTCTTTAAGAAAGAGCTCTATAATTTCTTTTCATTTTAAAGAGAGATAAGTATCAGATATAATCATGTTGTTTGATTACTTAATTTTTCTTAAGATGATTTTCTACTTTGTAAATCTCTATCTGATTTTCATAATACCCTGGGTAAATAACTAGTAGGGAGACATCCATTACATAGTATCTGCATAAAAGATACGGGCACTTGTACAGAACTATACACTGATTGAGGTGATTCACCTTTGGAAAGGGACCTATCAAAACTCATGGAAGAAGAAATCAATAGCCTGATTAGTTCACATCCATTACTGAAACTACATTGTGAAGTTAAAAAGCTTCCCCAAGACTTCAGCTTTGGATTCAGTCGGATGCAGTTTTAGATTCTGGCCTCATAACTTTCTTTAAGGCCTTCATCTACCTCTCTGTGCTTCAGCACCTTCCTCTATGGCATGGGAATTATAACCCTACCTTATAAAACTTTCCCGACACTTGTGAGTTAATATGTGTAAACCATCAAGCTTAGTATCTGGTGCATAGAAAGTAATAAAAAAACAGTTTCTTTGATTTTTGAGTTAATTAAATCTCGTTTTCTTCCGTTTTCCCCACAAGGCAGGGTCTTGCTATGGAGACCAGATTGATCTCAATTCCTCACCTTTCTGGTTCAAGAAATTATGGGCTCACAGTTCTCTGGCCAGCTGCCTTGGTCAAATTTCTATCAATCATTAGAACACTGAAGATTGAAAATGTTTTATTTGGAACCTCAGGATCAAAAAGTCTTGAATCCTGACCATTTATGTGTGTGCATATGAATATATATTTATTGATTATGCATCCTTGTATATGTTGTAAATCTGTATTATAGACATTATAAATAAGTGTAATAGGAATTTCAAAGGCTGTGATAAAATAAATACAATTTATAATATTTTCTAGCACCCTATTGTAGGGGCTGTTCGCCTCATATAACAGTTCTACTTTGCTTTGAAGAGCATAGGAGAATAGTTTATGCCCCTTTCAAGTCAGTTAAACTTCACAAGTATGGTGAATACCATTAGAAGTTCTCTGAGGAACAGCAAGATTTCTGCCATGTCTCCTTCCCTTAAAGAGCTCATACTCTTATTGGAAATTTCATAATATTGAGATATTTTGCTCAGTTGGGTTTTTTGTTTGGGTTTTGTTTTTGTTTGTTGTTTGTTTGTTTGTTTGTTTGGCGGAGACAAGGCCTCACTATTTAGTTCAGACCTAAAACTCACTAAGTAACATAGGCTAGTCTAACTCAGGATCCTTACATCATAACTTTCCAAGCACTGGGAAGCACAAGCATGTGCTACCACACCTGGCTTGAAATGTTTTCTTGAAAGTAAAAGATAAAATAGCATTTTGAACAAAACAGTAAAGTGATATGATTTATAATAAAGCCAACAACGGAATATAGTCAGGTTCCATATATCTTTGAAGTATAATAGAAAACAAATGCAGTAAAAGAGCAAAACTGGCTTGAAGATGAGGAGAAGCTAACTTAGAACAGTGGTTCTCATCCTGTGGGTCGCGACCCCTTTGAGGGGTCAAACAATCTTTTCACAAGAGTTGTATATCAGATATCCTACATATCAGCTATTTACATTAGGATTCATAACAGTAGCAAAATTACAATTATGAAGTAGCAATGAAAATAACTTTGTGTTTGGAGGGTCACCACAGTATGAGGAACTGTATTAAAGGGTCGCAGTATTAGGAAGGCTGAGAACCACTGTCTTACAAGATGGACACAGTTGAGCAATGATGGAGTTCAAGGGGAGAAGACAAGGACAGACGGCAGCGAGTGTGGATGGAGGAAAATGTCAGTTTAGCTAGGAGTGAGAGGCAGTATGTATTGAGTACCGATGATAAAGTCTACAGATGTAACATGCTTTTGTGTATGGAACACTTATCCCAAGTCAAGTGCTGTGCCACTTGCTATCTTGTTTAATCCACCAAACCACTTTTTGTGGAAAATATTTTAATTATCACCATTTCAAAGATGAAGAAATGGAGTTCCAGAAAGTTCCCACAAGTGGCTCCAGTTTATCATGGAAATCCAAGGTTCCTCATCTGTTCATCTCCTCTCCACCTTCACTTGAGCATGGACAGATCCAGTCACAAGAGGATACATTTCTCCTTCTAAAAACTCATGATCGCCAACCTCAAATGAGCCTTCCACGCTGCCTCCTACTACTTCTCTCTGTTCAGTTTATGCTCCTATTCTACAATAACCCTTTCAAAAATGCCCCATTGTCAAACACCACCTCCACATGTTTATCAGATAATCATGCCTCCTGCTTCAAAGGAAAAAGTAATTGAACCCATCAGACAGAAGTTCAACTGTAATTTAGATCCTGTCATCCGCTATTTCACAAACTTTGCCTCTCTTTTCCCTAATGAGCCTTTCCTTCCTCCTTTAAAACTTATTCTCCTCTCATGCAATAAAAATGAAAATGTCACATCCCTCTGCCCCATATCTCCCTTCCCCATCACAGCTAAAATTCTTTGAAGTTACTTATGCCAGATGTCCCCCACTCCTCTGGCTCCTTGCCTGGACCAAGCATTGTCCCAAGCCCTCTTCTCCTTTTACTCTATTGTATTTTCCCACCTACACTATCAATTTACATCAGTAGACAAATGAATCCCATCTCTCTCTAGGTCAGATCTCTATTCCGAGTTCTACGCTTTTAAGAACCAATCATTTACTTTGCATTATCTTTTGGCTAGTTCATAATACCTCAGACTGAACACACCTTAAACTTGAACACATTGTCTTCTCTCCATATTGGATCTTCTAGTATTCCTTCACTGGGTAGTCCATTCAGTTATGCCAGCCCAACCTTCTCCAGGTGCCTCTTCCATTCTCTCTCTCCCTTGCCATAACCAATCCACCATCTTGTCCTAGAGATCATACCCACTAAATACACCTTGACCCATTAATTTCTTTCACTCTCCATTGCTTACTTCCCAACAGGTCCTGTCCTCTTTTTTTTCTATTATTTTTGAGATTATAATATTATTGTTTCTCCCTTCCTTTTATTCCTTCCCAACCTCCCATATACCCCTCCCTGCTCTCTTTCAAATTCATGGCCTCTTTTTCATTAATTGTTGTTATATATATAAATACAATCTTCTCAGTCAGTATAATGTTACTTGTACATATGTTCTCAGGGCTGACCCTTTGTTGTTGAGTAACCAATGGTGTGCTCTTCCCTGAAGAAGACAGCTTCTCCCACTCTCGGCACTCCTTAGTTACCTGTAAGGTCTTTGCCACTACTCTTGGGTGCCTTCCAACCCATCTCAGATGCAACAAGAGTGAATTCTGATTGTGTCTCACATATACAATTTCTCTCTCTCTCTCTCTCTCTCTCTCTCTCTCTCTCTCTCTCTCTCTCTTTCTCTCTCTCTCTCTCTCTCAGTCCCTTTAATGTTTTCCATTACTCACAAGGTAAAAATAATATACTACTTAATAGAGCCTAACTGTGCATGTTTGGTTTCCTACCTAAGTGGCTAGTGTAAATTTGGGCTGGGTCCTACCCTTTCTAATGAGCCTCCCCCCACCACAACTCAGTGCTTAACGTTTAACTCTACCATAAAAGCTTTGCATGTGCTGTTGTCACTATTTACAGTTTCCTCCATATTTCCTCATGTCAGTAACACCTATTCAGCCTTCTGATATCAACCCATACGTCACTTCTTCAGAGAAGCCTCCCTTCCCAAATGTCCATGATGAACTCAAACTAATCTGTTGAGGACTATTGTGATATCACATGTCTCTTTATAGCATTTATCACAGCTGCAGTTTTACATGTGTTTCTATATGTCTGCCTTCCTCAGTAAGACATATGAATATAAACAATCTTTCACTGCTCAACCGTTGTAAACTAAGTTTCTAGTGAGTGCCTAGACCATGATAGATATTCAGTACAGAATTTTTGGCTTACTGAATCAATTGAAAAGATGAGGTCAAAATAATATGAAGCTCTCCACGCCTACATCTCCTGGAGAGGAAATGCTGGCATTGCACGGTAACAAAGGAGACAAAGAGACAAAGAAGAGAGAGCACCCTCAGAGGTCACACATCTTCCTTTCGGGAAAAATCCCAGAAGATTGACAATGTTCACGGAAATAGGAAAATATCCTGTTAGACCTGGAGATGTGTGACTTGAGGTGAGGACAGAACATCCAGCGAAAATGGCACTCAGGAAAAGTCACAGGTGAGTCACACTCTTTCTTCAATTCAAATCGCTCAAAATGAAATCGTGCATATTTATCTTAGATAAATTGGCATTTTGAATTCACCTTCCTAAGAAGCATATTATCTGTGATGTAGAAATAATTATGGCAGTAGACAACTACTGGCTTATGTCACAGCCTTGATTATAATTAATTCTCTTTGCATATACAGAAAATCTAAAGTTTGTATAGGACAATTTTAAGATTTTATATTCATGAGGAAGTAAAAGAAATAACAATCAGAAGTCTTCAATCAACTATATAGATGAGTTGATTAAAGTGCATGAATGAATAAAGTAGAAAAGTCAAAATTATATAAGAAGTGCATCTTACTTTAAGATAATAAAACATTGTTTTCACTATCAGAGTTCCATTCTCTTAGGCTTTGTCAGGAGGCCATTTTGTTTCATTAGCACACAATTAATTTTAAGATTTCTGCTTTTAAATTTGACCATGGCCATAAGTGAAAGGACTGGCAGGATTTGGGTTTCCAGTTTTATAACAATTTTATCTCAGCTAATTAGATTTGCAACCCTCTGTCTAAATCATCACTTCTAACACCCATGAGGAGAGTGGCCACACAGAGCTTGAATTGCTCTATGAACATGCTAACTGCTGGTATGAATAGTTTACAAGTCCTACTCCTTTAGTAACTGAGCTGCAATCAGGTTTGGGTTTTTTTTTTGGAGGAC